TAGAAGTTTTTGACTACCGATGTTTACTTATTTTGGCGCGGGTTGGCTGGAGCGAGCGTGTAAGCAACTCTGAGGTAAGTCGTCACATGTTTGGTAGTGATTCAATGGAATTCGTTGTCCCATTGAATTTTCATTAATCGGCTTCACTGGTTCGGACACGTATTGCACATGCCCAGCTATCGTGTACCACACCGCGCCCTATTCTCGGTTGTGGTTCCAAATTGGAAGAAACCGCGTGGAAGCCAACAGATGACGTAGAAGCGTCGCATGAAGAAATGCACAGAGCGATTAGGTAGAATCGATGTTTCCCGCCTTCCAGGTTGGGGTCCGAAAGACTGCAGCTGGCTGGTTGGAAGCACTGAAGGATATGGCGACTAACTGACAGCAGTGGCGTTCTTGTTGTCGTTTCTTATCAGGTCAGAATGCTTGAAAAGACATGCATGCGAAGTTAGATTTTGTACTTTGTATGGTGACCATAGAGGTTCATTTTCCTTGCCTCCCTCCAATTAGGCCCAATCCCTCCCTGTATTGTGCTTATCACTTGATTTGTGTACTTGATTGTGTGCTTGGCAGCGATCAGTGAAGTTCGGTTCACTATATTACTCTGTAAAACGATGATGGTGATGGTTTTAAACTCCACTGTTTACGCATAAGTCCAGCGGAGCAACCGGAAAACTGATGCTGAGGTTAAAGTTCTAGTTTTAGGCAGTTGCGGTCGTCAACTGGAGCTGGGAATCAACCTCCATTGCTTTCTTTGTATGCGGCATGTGCGACTCATGTCACCAAACAGAATAGCTTCACGTACTGTATTCTAATCCAGGTAGTGGCTGAAAGATGGGCAAAGACGGTCAAAGTAAAACCTGGCATGAGTTTTGGAAAACTGTGACCAGGACATTTTGACATGTAGATTGCTTTAGTGAGCTGCGTCATATCTATAGACCAACGATAGCAGTGTCCCTTGACCTGAAAGGAGCCTTTTACTCTGTTGACCACGAAGCTCTGATGGGTTATCTTCTTCGGAAAGGAATGCCCCAGATGTACGTTAACTTAGTGATATCACTGTAATGATGTACATCTGGGCAGGTGGGGGTTTACAACGAACTAAGTAGGCCGGAACACTGGAGAACGCACTTAGTGGTCTCCAAAACGTAGGTATTGAATAGGTATCTAAAGAAAAACGGTGCGATTTGCAGTACACCGATGCTATCGTGTGTCTGTTCAAATGTACGGAGGACGTGCAGAGCGCACTTGATAGGCTATCAAGCGCTGTTGCGACATCCGGTATGTGCTTTGCACTTTCAAAGTGCAGTGATGCTGCAGGACATGGTTTTGCCTACTCCCGCTCTGAAACTAAATGGTCAGGGATTAGTTATGATGGGTTACTTTTCCTACTTAGGTAGTTGCGTGACCAATGACTCTATCGCAGCAAAAGAGATAACCGCCCGCATTTTCAAGGCTCGTGCATCATACGCACGACTAAAACACCTTTGACGTAAATGCAACGTTTCACTGAATTTGAAAGGTCGTGTATAGAGTGCTACCGTTCGTTCAGTTCTGCTTTATGGTTATGAGACCTTGAGTTTGTGAGTGGAAGATATTCATCGAATAGAAGTTTTCGATTATCGCTGTTTACGCGTGGCATGGAGCGATCGGGTTAGTAATCTGGAGGTAAGCCGTCGTGTGTTGGGGAATCTATCAGGTATAAACCTGTTGGCACATCGAATTCAGATTAATTGACTTCGCTGGCTAGGACACGTATTGCGTATGCCCAGCCATCGTCTGCCGCGCCGCGCTTTATTCGCTGTAGCCGCTCATCATTATCATCGTTGTACAGCGTGATACAATAAAGCGAACTTCACTGATCGCTGCCAAACTCATATTGCATACAAGGTAAGTGAGAATGTTTAGGGAGGATAGGGAGTGGACTTAGGGACGGGAAAAGAAAGCGATCCTCTATAGTCAACACGGAGTACACAGTCCAACTGTGCATACATACTATTTCAAACATTCTGATCTGATAAGAAGTGACAGCAAGCCCGCCATTGCTGTCGGTTTGCAGCCATGACCTTCAGTGTCCCCAACCATGCGATTTCAGAGTCTTTTGAACCTCATCTCATTCTATGTGGTTTTGGCTCAACAGATCTCCAAACTTACCGATGAGAAAGGTGAGGACACGTTTTCATCTTAAAGAATTCTGTTTTCACAGTGCTGTTGGACTAAGTTTGGTATCTCTGTTATCACAGCTGACCTTATTTGATTTTTCGAAGCAATAGTTTGGAATATTTGATCGCATTAAACTAATCACTTCATTTTTATAACTTCTTATTTTCAAGGTGCTACCGAATCCATCCCTCAGATGGATTTCGTCGTGTTCGATAAATTGAGTGAACTGGAAACCAAGGTATATTTGTTGGAGCAAGAACTCCAAGAGAAGGATGCCACTATAGTCACGCTATCTGCACGTATTCAAGAATTAGAAGCGTGCATTGCTAAATCATCTACGTCTACCGAAACTGTCGTGACATCCGATTTGGGCATTCTGGAACCTGGTATGATCACTTACGCGGTTCACACAAGGTGTCAATAGGTAAATCCGTTGCAGATGTCCTGAGAGAAACTTCTGAATCTGCACTTCAATCTACCGCTTATGCGTTTGATAAACGTACCGGCCTTTATTTCGATAAGAACAGTGGTTATTACTACGATCCAGTATATTTGCTGGCCCACAGTGTACCATATGATGCTGACTTCTCTTGCAGAAAAATCGCCTGTTTTACGAACCAAGAAGCGGAACCTATTACAGATATAATGCTGAAACGAGGGAATATATTCATCAAAAGTCTGTGAATAAAGTTCTTAAGGCACAGTTCAGACACGTAACCCAAGAGGTTAGTCATTACTCTAGTTCATCATTTGGGTCACAGTTTTCTTCTTCGAACCGAAAATGCTAATCTGTTTTAATACTGTTATCCAATTGCGATCGATTAGGTTATGATTAATTTAAAGTAATTGATATCTGCAGCTTCTGCTTTAACTCCTCTGTGACGTAATCTTCCTGATTATCCACCCGGTTTTGTTATTAGCATATACTTCCTCGATTTTCTGATTGTGTTATCTTAGTTTTATGTACTTCAGTTTTAACTAACTGTACAAATTTTCTAAGCCTCATCGATTTTGCACTGTAACACGGTTGTTAAACAAGGATTCACTAGATATAGGCTAAAAGGTTCATTGCTGCTTTAATTTGTACTGGATCGGAACTAAATAACACAGTGGTGTGCTATACAATAGGAGCAATGTATGCCATAACCACAAGGATGTTGCGGTGGATTTTCACGCCATATCATGAACTGTGACATACTTATGATTCAAATACATGTTTTGGCCCCTCCTGGAAGCGACGCTTCCTATACTATCCTAGTGACCAGAGTGTCCACTAAGCTACTTGTGAAACTCAAGGCTAAAGAACCTCTTCATGTTATCTATTGGAATATCAGAACTCCTTCAGACACTGGAACTCAGTACTGTACTACTTCAAGTTGGTCATAGTGTACCTACCAGCGTACTCGGAATCAAAATTTGTCATACGAACATGAACCATTGGCTATGTCACAGCAAACTAACGGATTGCAGCTCAACATGTAGTTTCTCTGGTTGTCAACCACCGTCCTAACAGAGCACTGATCTCCTGAAAACTCATCGACCCTAGGATTGCATCGTCACATCTCGGAGACCACCTGCTAGGCTTAGCGGTCATAGTCCGACTAACTCCTTTGCTAGAGATGAATTCTACTGCAAACTGTAAATTTTCAACTGCCAGATGTGATATTCTCTGGATCGTCCGCACTGGGCAGCTGTATAGTAACATCGAATATTCTTGGGAGGTTTGGCCTTGACCGTCGATGTGAGATTAAGGATAGCCTAATCACGTCTGTCTCGAATCGGTTGATCCTTTCCAACACGTGCTTTGAACACCAGATGGGACATTCTTTGGTGTTCAAACGACGAGAGAACAACATATCATATTGACATTATTTCGGTCACGCTAAGCATCCAAATAAAAAAACTATTGAGTTTATCTAGGTGCGGAAATGGAGTCAAAATTACACCAATCATATCATTGTACACACTCGCCCCAAGATCCATATGAAAACTCGATCAAAATCTGTCTTTGCCCTGGAATCAGTGCTAGCGCTCTAGGTAACCGGGAAAGAGCACAGCTTCTCTCGAACATATTGGCTTTTGATTTTGTGATGAATATGCGAATCAGCGAATTCGCTGTTGAAGTCGTTTACGACATGCATCCGGGAAACCGCTCTGGAACACTCGAAAGGCGACACGACGACATAAAGAGTGCATCTACGAAGAAACGCTTCTGCTGTCCAAAAAGACAAGTGATGTATGATTCCACCAGTTTCCGGAAGACCGTGTCACCATATGCGAAGCAGCTCACTCTGCCAGGATGGATCGGAAGAGGTTTTCGCCAGGAGTGGCAAACCAAAGTGGATATTGTACTGCGCAATGAAAGGGACCAAGTCATACAAGGAATTAAAAGAATATTTCTAGGATGGATTGAACACTTAAAACAACAACTAAGTCGCACAACTGGACAAGCGAATTACTTAGCGGCAACAGAAACCTGCACCACATACAGTCAATTGTGGGCCATCAACAAGGGAGGAAATCTTCTCGGGGGTTGGTAAGATTGAAAGTAGGAAGAACTCGAGGAAAGAGGGTATTACACTGAAAATATTTAAACACCACTTTCCAGTTTCGCTCAACCCACTACGTTCGCTAGTTCGTTGGATCTGAAAAACGGAAATCCCCAAAAGACGGAACCAGCACTATTCTACTGTCCCCAAAGCTAACAAGACTGTGCGAGAACTGTCGTGGCATCCGCTACTTCGATACGGTAACCAAGCTGATTACAGCGCTACTGCTTATGGGTTTCCCAGTCACAAGAGGTGCGCGCCCGCTCAAACCAATGTGACTTCTACCTTGATCAGGGCTGAGGTGATAATATTTTTACTCTGCACCATAAGTTCATGCATCCCACGAGGGCCTGCTGTATTGACTTCCTCATCGCTTTTGATTCCGTTCATGGAAGTTTTCTGTGAGACTGAAAGAAGATGGCATGCCTGAGGAACCCATGAAGCTCATAAAACCCTATTACTCGGACACTCAAGGCCGATTGCGCGCCTATGAAGAACAGGCTTCAAACCTTTTCTTGAAACCAGGAAGTTCCACAAGGTTGTCTATTGTCTCCAGTGCTGCTTAACTACACCATGGACTAGACTGAATAGTGCCCTAACTGAAACACCTTGAGGTACGAATTGGGATGAGTAACTGGGTGGAGCCGGCTCATCGTCATGCAGGAGTTCGTCAGGTAAAAGTAAGCTGAGACTTTGGTCACTCGTCATCGGTCGCATTTTTCTCGACTGATAGTATGATGAAATTGGTAAACGGGCTGAAAGTAGGAGGACTGCTGTGGTTGATTGAAGCATGCGTTAGGGCTTTGGAACAGAGTGAATAGACGTGAATTTATTGGCGTGCCACCACGACTAAACGGCATCTTGACGTGGTGTGATGGCTTGTGCACCTCTGTGACCCAAAGAGCTACACAGGATGGATTTTACTAAGTCGGAGATCTAATCATGTCTGGAAGGTCGAAGGATAGAGGTCGAACGAAGTTCAGTCTCCTGATCCTCCAGGTCGGGGGCTCGACTAGAATTTGCGTTTCGGTCGGTAAAAATGGTGGAGAACTAATCGATCCAAGTAAATGGGCCTCCACTTCACTTCACCCGCTGTCTTGCATTTAGGTTCTTGCCAGAACTAAAGGCTTTGGTTGAGAACCCTAATCGTTCTCCTGCTTAGTGGCTGAACACCCTAGCAGTACCCGTCTATCAAACCGTAATGTGGGCACAAACTATGCCTTGCGACTTTGGCGGCGATCAGTGAAGTTCGCTTCCCTGTATTTCGCTGTATAATGAGTATGATGGTTGGTATGCCACGTCATGCTTGACGGACACAGAAAAGCTAGGATAATCGTGATGACAATTGAACAGTTATCACAGCACCTAGGATTCCATCACAACAAAAAATACACAGACTATCTGTGCGTGTGTTCTTGTGCACCAAAGCTGGAATAAGCTAATGTGAAGTCAAAACTGTAGTATCGTGCGATAGACATTAGCAGTTGCTGAGGCCATGATTGATATTGGCTTCACTAGTATCGATCCACGCTAATCGTAGCTCATATATCGACCGGTTTCAGTCAAATTCGGTAAAAACAAAGAAAATGATAAAACTTGAAAACAGTTTAAACGATTTTTCGGATGTTTCGGGGGAATTAGCTTAGGGTGAATCCTTTTAAGAAATGTGAGACATATCAATTTGAAACAAGTCTTGAATAAAGGTGACTGAGAAGTTTACTGGAATAACATTATACAATTTGAAAAAATGTTCGAAATAACTGACGAGATTTCTGAGCGCTTCTGGTGACCGCTTAACAAAAAGAGTCAGAACATTCATTGGAGGTTGTTCGGTCGCATTTCCAGGCGGAGGGATTTCATGTGAGTTGTCTTGAATGATTAAAACCATTTTACCAGCTCTCGAATTAAAAAAATGACGCACCTGACCCATTTCAGTAAAGAATACTGGATTGGCACTAACCCCTGATTATTCTAGTCGAGTGGTTAGGATCATCACCACAGCGGCTTGGAGGTCATGAGTTCGAATCCCGTCACAACTGCTTATTTTTTCCATTTCTTTAATTCCTCAGGCAACCTTGGTTTAGCCGCGACTCCTTTCCTGAAAGTTTACCTTACATATTTAATAAATAAAAAGGAGATCTTACAGTGTTAAAAATGAGAACTTTTTCAGTGGTGACGAATAAATCCCTTGAAATTTGATTAAAGCTTAACAATGAAACAACCGAAATATATATATATATATATATATCAGTTATCGCAGTGTTAAACCGTGTTTTATGTGTTTCATTTCTCTCGTTCACTCTTTATTTCTCCATGATACCAATCAAAAGTACTCCCAGAGTCTCGAAACTGAGCAGTTAGGTGGACAAAGTATACAAAGTGAGAATCTTGATTCCCTTGAAAGTCCCAACCGAGAACGGCGCCGCGGAAAGCACCATGGGAAGAACAATCGACGTTCCTTATCCCCCTCACCTATCCGCGGTTCTCATCGTCGCAATAGGAGTATTAGCTGTTCCCCTGACGGAAATAGGCCTTCGCAAAGGAGACGGACACATGGACACAGAAGAAACCGAGGTGGCTCTGACAGTTCATTCACCAGTGATGTCTCACAGTCTGGACAAAGCAAAAATCACCGAACACGTAGACACCGCTATCGATCACTTTCAAACGATGGGGTTGATAAGCGTAGTCATTCGAGAGGTAAGTAAAATTGTGTTTTTCCTCAAATTAGAAAAGGGTATTGCTAACGAAAAAGATAGATGAAACAAAAAACAAGTCACCAATACATTTAAGATGAAACAGACTTGGTGAACCCAGCCGGTAGTTGACGCACACAAGCTTCAATTTTTAGTGTATACAAACGTTAAGCCTGCACTTCCGCTCGGCGGCTTTGTTATTGTCTGTTGACTGCCTATGTGGATGTAGCAATAGTTGGAAAAGCTAGAATTTCGGAATCAGTATCTAGGGCATGCTAGAGAATTAAATAATAGTATGGTTGCGAAGAAATTAAGTAGATGTACTAGCGCCGCTGTTTACGATACTCAACTATATCACTCAATATCTCTACCTATCGGGAACACTGATTGTGAGATTCCGGATAACAAGTCTAACTCAGTCTATGTGACCCTCAGCAGGTATTTCATACTCATGTCAATTCTCATTCTGATCACCCTGGATTTTCTTCCACTCTCTTCCGGCCTCTGCAAACGTCGCGTGTTGAGGAAACCGAACTGGTGAAACACAACATATTTATCACCCATCGTAATCTACAAAGATCGATGTGTTGCTGTAGTGCAACTCTGCGATTACCTAAAACTTCGCCATCGGTCTCAACGTTGCCAATCCGATTGCCCTATCGGAATCGCACAATGTGACGTAGATAATAGTGTTTTGACACTGATGGTATGTTATCATCCTTATCCCTAACGGTCATACCTCTGGATCACAGCACCACAGGCCGAACTGCTGCAGCATTACGTTCATGGACAGCCTAATGTCACGGCACCGCCATAAATGTTTAAAGTTTGCAAACGCCAAATAACCCTTCTGTGTGCATACTGATTCTGCATCCGCTGTGGCTCTGCTAGATGAGAGGTAGCTACCCAATTAGTAAAATGTATCCACTTTTTCTATTGCTTCTCCAGTCAGAGTGACGTTGGGAGCTGGACCGACTCAGTTATCCAACATTTTATCCTTTGAAGATTCGAATCGCATGCTAAATATATCTGTACTACCATCCGGAAAAGCTAGCAACTTTCCAGGATCTTCATTTAGAAGGTCAATACCGTACGTATATAAATTTATCTCACTTTTCACGAGGAAGAAAATCGATGCTACTATCCTCCTTTGAGAACAGCTGTCTTGAATTCATGACACAGTTGAATGAAAAACAACATAATGGTAGCTGATGGCTATATGATCGATTCAAGACAATAGGGCGGTGTCGTTTCTTGGGGGCGAAGTTAATGCTTTATCCTTAACATTCAGCATTTTTCTGCACTAGATTGGAATAGGTGATCTTCGCTGTCCGTCCAGTGGGTTAGAACTGCATATAGGCTGCCTAGGCACCTTTCTGATTCATCCAGGGGTTCCACTTGAGCGTTTAAATCTCTGGTGACTAATACGATTAAGCGAACACTTTGGAGCAGTCGAGGGCGGTCATCATAAAAAGAATCTTTCTTTTTTGGTGCACTACTATCAACCGGAGCGTACACGGATGTGACGAATAAACTCTGGAGCTTTTATAAATCTTCGAGACGTACAGTGCGTTGT